ACACCAGCAACAACAATAATAATAATAAGCAGTAGCGTTGCACGCATATAACTTATTTTTAATTCATATTTTCATGGAGAAACAATTAAATGCAGGTAAATTACTTTTTTGGAAATGCAGTATTTTACAAATTACACAACAGCCTATTATACAAATTTATTCGTTGAAAGACTATAAAATATCTCTGGAAACATAACACTAATTAAGAAATACTTTGTCATAGGATTCTGAAAATAAAAAAAATTTCTATCCCATTTAAATAAGTTTTAAGCAGTAGCACACTTCCAGTTTTTATAAATCTAACCGGCTACTATTTTAAAAACTTTAACACAAATAAAACTATATATGGATTTTAAAGGATTTTTTTTTAAATATTTTACGTCCCACCACTTAAACAGCTAGATGTGTGCTTCTGATATTTTTCTTGGGTTGGGAAAAAATCGTTTTTGAAAAACGTTTCAGGGTTGTGATCCTCAATTTCAACCCCCATCAACTAATAAACTCTTGACAAACCGAGGATCCCACTCTCCGTCCCCATCTTCCTTCCCGCTTACTCCAAGGGTATATATCAAGGGTCAGCCAGTCAATATGCTGACAATGTGTTCTTGTTTTTGTTGTTGTTGTTGCCTCGGAATCATGTCCTCATGCCTGAGTTTAAGTGCCCAGTTGAGCTGTGAGTTTAGCCTCTTTGGCCACTCGGGCTTTTTTATAGCCAAATATATAGCAGGTGTCTTTATATTAAATACAAAATTTAGTTTATATTTATTTTATCTATAATCCATAATTTACTGCACAGAAAGAAAAATTTTATTAATAAATTAATAAAAAAGGGCCATTTGAAACTATTCTTTACTTGCCAAAATCAAAAGAAACCTGCATACACCAAATTAGGTAGGTACTTGCTGCATTTGTATTTTAGCCTATTCTTTCTTGGGCAATCGATCGGGACTGGCATCACTGTAGCTGCGCCTGCACTGTGTGCCACAGTGGATGATAGAGTGAGAGGTACGGGGGACTGGATTTGGATGGGATGGGTACTATATGCGGAATTGGACCTGGACTTTAGGGATGGGGCTGCATATTAATCGAGTCGAGTCGGATCGAATCGAACTGAAATGACGTTTGGCGGAGTTGAGGGTAAACAAAGGAGGAGAAGGGGGGGAATGAGGATTGAAGAGTTGCCTTTTTTTTAGGTAGGTAGCGGTGGTGGCTACACTCGCTCTTTTACTCCTACTCCTTTTTCTTCTCCTCCTCCTCCTCCCCCGCTACTCACACCTTCTTCTTGCAGCAATGGCGTCGGGACAAACACACACACAAGGAGAAAAAAACACAGATCAAAATAAACGACGACGTTGTTGTTATCGCCTTGGCAGGAAATGGAATTATATTCGTAAAAAGTAGTCGCCGTTTGTTGCTTGTAAGTGTAAGTGAGCCTCTCAGCAGGAGAGTAAATCTGGGAAGGAGAGAGGGGAAGCAGATTGAGAAGGTAAAGAGCGCAAAGAGTACAGGAGGAGTTTTTGAAACGTAATACCACTGATTACGTACGAGCATGATACAATAACATAAGGTAGTCTCGTCGGCAAATTTTGGAACCCTACTATTAAAACAATGAGTGCGAGTGAAATGGCAACTGTTTAGTAAGTACGAGCAGAGCGACAATAGAATGTGTGGATTAACCCTTAGATGAACCCCCTGGTTTTTTTTTGCCTTTCATAATAAAAGGAGTTTAATTTTTATTATAATTTAATTTTTAATAATTTTGAATTTGACATTAGGCGTTGTTTTTGTCTCTGAATACTGAGACTTTTGTTAAGATTCTTAATTCTAAAATATATTCTAATCTTAAAATAACAAAGAATGTAAACGAACCTTTAATAATCGCAGCCGAAAATGTTAGTATAAGTTTAGACATAAAAACTTATACTAATATTTTCGGCTGCGATTATTAAAGTTTCGTTTACATTCTTTGTTATTTTAAAAGTATCACAGCGATTCCTCCCACAGCGCTCTTTTTTCCAAACATTTCGGTGCCTTTACGCCATCGACGTGTTTGCGGCACACATTGCAAAATGTCATGTTGCTCAAGGGTTAATTTCCAAAAAAATTCGTCCGCAGACAACCTTTCCCTTCGAAAGACGAACACGCACTGACCAAAACCCGAACGTTTAGACAGCCGACGAGACTACCTTATGTTATTGTATCATGCGTACGAGGATTTCGATATGACAAACTAAGCACATTTTACACATTTACTTTTTAGCCTGAGCACAGCGAAAAAAACCAAGCGAAGAGACGGACAAAGCAACTACAGTGGATATTCTGCACTAACTTGTGTCCTAAGTTTTTTAAATCTAAATTTTCCTATAGCTGTTTGGCTACACAAAACAATTCTAGCATACATACATTTAAACAAAATTTAAATATATTTATGTTTTCATCCAATCGCTTAAATTTGTTTTTGTTAACTGTATCGAGCGTGCACTGCAAACTGCATATGTATGTACATATGTATACATATGTATACTTGGTAATATGTATAAATTTCATAATAATATCCAGACGAAGCCGAAGGCAAAAACAAGAAATTAAAAGTTTGGCAAAAAAGTGAATTTTAGAGTTGGCGCTCCCTTCTCTCCTCTCTAGGTCCACCATTCTCCTCTTTCCATCCCACATTCCAGCCGACCAATGTGGCGCAAACAAACATTGTAACACAAGTCAAAAAGCGAGGCATCAAACAAAATATGGTTTTAATTCACAAACACAACGATTGCGACACTTTGCCGCTTAAAGAAATGAGCAAACAAACTGTATTTTTTTGCGATTAATAAATTTGGCTTTTCATCTTCAAATCTACTGTCTCATTTACATTACAAAAATCGAGTTTTTATGTCCTCATAATATTAAAATATCAAATACAAAAATAATAAACCGCCTAAAAATTTCGATGTAGAAATAAGCACAATTGTTTCCCAGTGTGCATACCGATTGCGACAATATTGTCGCCTGAAAAGAGTTGCGCTGCAGCAGCTTCTATACATATGTGTGTGCTTGTGTTGCGCCCTTTCGCTTTCGGCAGCAATTTGTTGTTTTCTTTGTTGCTGCTCTCTCAGTCAGCCGAAAAGCAATAACTAAAAGCGCTGCGTAATGACAAAAAACAAATGAATTTTCCATGCGAATAATCGCTGCTGCTGTGTCGATAATCGATAACACGACAAAGTTCATTTAACAAGTATTTGCGACTTTATCGGACGTCAACCTGCCTTGGCCCTATTTGTTGTTTGTTTTTATTTTTTCTCCTCGCTCTCCTGTTATTTTTTCTTTATTTTGTGGTTCTACTTGACCCTTTGGCTTTACATTATAGTTTACGCAAATTTGCAAGCAGAACAGAGAAAACAAGGAAAGCAAAACAAAAGCAACGGTGCCCGCTCTTTTCTTTTCCTTCTCCATTTGGACTCCACTCTCTTTCTCCCAACCGCAAGAAAAAAAAACTTTGTACGTAATCGCAGCAGCAGCGCAGCAGCAGAGCTCTTAACTTGGCTCATTTGAGAGCAACTTCCAATACGAACACAAAAACAAACAAAAAATAAAAGAAATAATAAATAAAATACAACTGAAATCACTAAACAAAAAAAACAGAAATCCAGCCAAACCAAACCCGGAACTTGAGTTAATCGAATTTGTTGTCGATCAACAGCGGCTCTGCCGACGTCGCTGCCAATATAACACGCACACACATACATACAAATATTTATATGTACAAACAGTAAGTGATCACGAGTGGTGTTGTTTTTTTTGTTTTTAATGATGCTGCTGCGATGACGCCAATTGTAACAAATAAATGCAAAGAGAAGGGGAAAAGAGAATGAAGCCCCGCCCCCCTTCCCACACAATCAAAATACACTTATCAAAAATCCTTATCAGACAATTATTTAGTCCACTTTACAGTATGTCGTTATTTCGCCTCTTCTTTTTTTTTTTAGCTTAGTTTCTTGTTTTTTGTGAGTTGACAAACCGACAAAGTTATATTTATGAATCAGCTTTAATAATGGGGAATAACAAACAACAAATACTTGCTTTTGTAACGAAACGGAAATGTAACGAAATGAAAAATGGAAAACAAGTTATCAAAATTTAAGCAAGCTTGCTTTTAACGGCACAAAACAAAACAGCGCAAAATGCAACTCCCAAAATAAATAAACCAAAAAAAAACATGTGGTTATGGCATGTTTCAAGCTGTCGACCTAAAAATATTTAAAGTGTTTTTCGCTTAAGTGACAACAACTTATAATTCTAAATTAATGGTTTTAAGTAAATGAGTTTTTGCAAAATGAAAAATATTGATCAAATTAATTGTTAACTAAAATTATATATGTATATATTTACTTTAATCATGCCTATTGACCGTTCGTACGACTCTCTATTATAAAAAAAAAATGTATGAATTGAAAATAAATGTAATTAATATGTTGCATTATTAGATACCTAATGCAGCTTATAGGCCAAATTAAAAAAAGGTTGGATATTACGAAAAATATTGTGAAACCAGTTAAAGCTTAAATAAATGTGCAAAAAAACAACAAAATAAGCTGTGATATTATCTCACCATCTTTTTTCCTTTGTATTTTTATTTGAGTTCATCATTATTTAAAATTTTTTGAATTCTTTGAGTAAACATCCATTAAAAGTATAAAAATGTATGCACTCTATTTTAAAAAAGCAACACTTTCTGTTTCCATATATTTTTCTGTAGGCCTAAAATGTAATTCACGTTTATTTCCGAGAAGGTCAAATACCAAGGGTAACCTAAAAACCATATTCTTAAAAATATATTTTATGTTCAGGATTCGAGTTGCCGAAATTTAGGAAATATGAATGGGATGTATGGAAAAATTCCCCCAGGAGCAGCAATTTAAACCTATGAGACCTGCATTTTTTACAGTGAAAAAGCAAGTCAAGTTAAATTTTTCTATGGAAATATTGAAAGAAACTGAAAAACTTACCGCTTGAAATATGTCGCCGCACTCGTAATAGTGCGAATTAGCCACCGTCGTTGATTTCTGCACTATAGTAGCAGACATTTTGTTGTTCTTGCTTAACAGATTTTGAACTTGATTTTGTCGTTGTTGCTGTTGTTGTTTTTATTCCACTGGACAAGACAGAAAATATTCTTTATCTTGCGATTTTTTTTGTTTTGTTTTTTCTATTTTTTTCTTTTTGATATTGGTTTGGTTTTTATTTGCTTTGCACTTGAATGTTTAGTTATGTGTTGTTGTTGTTGTTATTGGTTCCGCGAATATTGCATTGCAACAACAAAAATATCAGCTAAAATTGAAAGAGTGCGAGTGATTAGAAGAGAGCGAGGGAGAGTAAGAGCGGGAGAGCAACAGAAATTACACGTGCTTGTTTAATGCGCGCATGTGTGTGTCAGGACATTTTTCACGCACATGTGTAAGGCTAAGAAGAAGATGGTCGTTGCTTTGCTTTGTTCTTTTTTCCCCCTCCTTTTTTTAAATATATTTAAACAGAACAGCCGATGTCTGTCTCGTGTGTGTGTTTGCTTTGCTTTTATCGTCTTCGTTCGCGTTCTCAAAAAGCAGAGAGATAAGCTTGCGCTTCGTCCCTTTCCCCTTCCCCTTTTTCCTTCTCTATCTCACCCTCTTAACTTGTGTGTGTTCGCGATCTCTAGTGGTGGTCGTATCTCATGCCTGTGTGTTTGTAATTTATATTTCACTGCTGCGCCAGCAAACTCAATAACAAAAAAAAAACGAGACTGCGAGTGCTCTTGTTGTTTTTAGCTTGTTGCTTTGCCTGTTTCTCCTTCTTCTTCTTGAGGTCCTTGCGACTGCACACATGCGCACATGGAATGAGTCGAGTGTTTGCTTATTTGAACATGTTGCTCTCTTCGAAAACCCTCTTTTTTTGGGTTTTAATATTGTTTTTACACCTTCAAAAAAATAAGTAAAAAAATATATTTCACCACTACTCCTGTTTACTGTTTTTGTTATTAAATAAAATAACTAATCGCGATTTAGATTGCAAAATAAAACAATCCACTTAGTCGCACAAACACCAATCATCACATGTAAAACACCTTTAAAATTGCTTTTGAAATTAAATTACTTTGAATACGGGCGCAGAGGTCCTGTCGCTCTTCGCTCGCAAAAACACAACAAAAAGAGACGCAGCACGGTCTGACAACCAACCAGATCGGATCAAGTTTGAACTCGCACCAAACGCGATAGCGGTTGATGGAGGTTGAGAGACCTCGATGCTGGCATAGGTGCAATCGATATTTAAAAAATCAGTGTCATCGATGTTTTTAAAACATCGGTAGTATCGATGTTTAACAGGGCATTTTCGATGTTTTTACAATACTGTCGAGCATTGAAACAAACGGTCATTCGAATTTTGAAAAATGGTCACACCAATATACATATAATACTCCTATTTTTGTGCACTTTAAACGATTCCTCTCTAGATCGGATGCAATGTTTGTCTAGTACGAAAAACGCGTAGAAATTTGAAAAAAAATTATAAATGTAATATATTTTTGGATAACTATCGAAATATCGGTTGGGGTATTCCCTACAAATTTGGGCAGGTAACACAGTTACAGGAAACACCTGTTTGACAATTCAATAGGACAATTTGTTGGTAGTTTTCTGAAGTTTGATCAAGTTAAGTTCAGTAAACATTAGCAAGAACTCGATTAAATTCGAAGCTTAAGTCTGAGTTCTTTGGTTAGCTAGTACAAAATCGAAAATGTCGAAAAGTTTGTATATTTTTCTAAGACCGGTATTGTAAAAATATTGCAGCTTAATGCATTTGGAAATCGGAACCAGTTAAATGTACCATAGTTTCATCGGAAACTGATTATTTCGCAGCATATCGAAACCTTGCCGCCGAAATTCAAATGAAATCCTAGATCACAGATCGATATTTCTACGAATAACCGATATATTATTGGTGTGCATCCTGGCTTAAGGATGGTGACACGGAAAAATAACGTGGAAAACGCGCGTAAATTCAAAATTTACAATGACATCATATCATTGATAGTAAATTCTGAATGCTAGTTTAATTTGTTTATACAATTAAATGGTATGCCTAATCTCCTGTATGCATGCTATTTATCATTTTGAGCTCGTTTTCGCATATATGCTAAAAACTGATTAAATATTAAACTTAAATGTACCTAAATATTTTGTAAGTCTGAAAATTTAATTTAATCTTAAGTGATTGTAAACTAATAGCACTATCTCGAAAAAGGTCGTGTTTTTTACTGTTGATTTAATAGCTATATTTTTTAATAAGAAATTGAGTCCCCCCACAGACCTGTTCTTATCAGCACCGCAGTTGGGTTTCCAATCAGCGCCTCCCGCTAGGAAACGGGGTGCTGATTGGGACGGGTCAGTGTGCAGTGACATCCCAACCCCATTGTAGTTATTGGATGGCACGCACAAATAACACTAAAAAGAGGCACAGTCGTATACAGACAGACGGCGTACGTGTCATTACTCAACGACGACGAACAAGCAAAGAAATAAAGAGGGGCCAATAAATGTATTTCACATGCGGACTGCAACAGACATCAGCTATAGTGTGCCTTAGCTGCTTGGAGCCTATTTGAAAATCAACAAAATCATTTCAAATGAATTTCTAGAGAATAATATAGATATATGTATATGTTTGCGATGTGACCTTGAGCATTTTCACAAGAGTGGATTGAAAAAACATTTAGATATTACAACATATTATCGAAGTTAAAAAAAAAAATATTTTTCATTCAATTTAAAATTATAAGGAAATCTTTTTAATGCGGTTCCCCATCGATCGTTCCCTTTTCTTCCGGTTTTTACTAGTCACGATGTGTAATATAAAAAATATACAATGCAACATTGTATACAATATATCAAACTAAAATGGAATTATCTTAATTACCAGCTGGGTTTACATACATAATATAAATTTTAGGAAGAATATTAAATGTCACGTTCTAGTTATCATAGCTAAACACACCGGATTGTTCTTAATGCGTTCGACTTTTAGATCTGGAATCCGAGTGTGAAATGCTGCTCTTTATAATTATAAAATATTAAGAAAATCTTAATTTGTTATAATGATTATATGGATTTGACCTTTAAGAAAAATAATGATAATTATGGATTTTAAATTCCTTTTTACGATTCAATTACGAACTGAATGGAGCTTTAATGAAAGAAATAACTACGCAAAATAAAAAACAGAAAATGTATGTGAATTAATATCTGGGATTTAAATTTCAATACACATTTTCTTAAATTTGGAATAGTTTTAATATCTAAGCTAAATTATGTTCTACATTTCCATAATTGGGTTAAAACAAATATGACTAATATTTAATAAACAAGGTAATAATAAATAGATAGATATAATTCACTGCTCTTCTCTCCCTTTCTCTCGCCCCATCTCTGTCTAATGCAGATGTGAACAGCTTTAAGTCGAAATTTAATTTCAACATATTTATTGATGTAATTCAAAAATTAAATATAAGTTATGTTTATAATTATTACTGCTTACTATGCAAATTTACTTTGCAGTTTTGCGTTCTGTTTTTTGTTTTCCTTCATTATAATTATTATTATTTGTTTGTTTTACTCTTGTTGCTGGTTGTATATCATTACTTTCCCCCATCTCAGTTGGCTTTGCTTGGTTGTTTCTCCTTTTCCTCCACTATTCAGCATAATTTTTTTGTTTGCTTTTTCTGTGTATTTTATTAATTTTTTTATTGTTTATTCTTGTTTTTGTTTCTTATTTATTCCATTTTAATTAGTTATTGAGTTTTGCTTCGCTCGATTCATAATTAAGCATTGGATTCGATTTGACGTGAATCAAATGGGATATATGCATACATATATGGTGTTTATTCGCTTATATATATACATATACATATATATAGGTTTAGTTTTCCTCCGCTTTACTTCTTTTTTTGCTCCTCCAACATTACCATTATTATTTCTTGTAATTTATTAGGCTAAGTGTTGATTTCTTTCTTTTTTCTCTTTTTTTTTTGGGCAATGATGTTTGCTTTTATGAGTGGGTGTATGAAAGGTGTTTGAGGGTGAGTGTGAGTTTTGTGTATGGTTGTGTTTGTGTTTGGATTGCGAATTGATTTGAATCGAATTGATTTGGAGTAATTTGTGTGTGTAACTATCGATCGCAGTGATTCACTCGTGAATCACATTTGCTGGGGTATCTTTTTTATATCATTTATGTGTTTGCTTGTCTGCGCTGTTGCTGTTGCTTTTGTTTTGCTTTTGTTCCTTATTTGTTTAGTATTGAATTTAAATTAATATTAAGAAACATCCTAACGCCCACTGTTGTTGCTCAATCCTCCGGTTGTGTCTGCTTCGTATTTTCTCCCTTTCTTGCCAGGCCTTTCGTCCACGTCCACGACCGCCTCCATCCTCCTCTTCAGATGTACTCCCCCATTCGTCTTCAACCTCGCTCCCAAGCCGATCCCCAGCTTTTAGTCCGCGATGAGGGGCTTGCCATTCTGCTTCTCCTTGTCTTTGTCCAATTGCTCCAAGAGAATAGCTGGATTGGGCTGACCCTGGTGGGTCTTTTGCTTCAGCATTGTCCAGTCGTAGATGTAATCATACTGATGGTTCAGCGTCCTGAACAGTATGCTGTGTTATGGAGGGAGAAAGTTCGTATTAGTGAGCCATTAGATCATCACACAATAAAAAACTATGACTAAAACACTCAAAAAACACAGCCTCAATGTGATTATCATTATCACCATAAATTTACGTATTTACGTAGGAAATAAATCAAACAAAAGCTTATTAATTAATTTCTCTATTGATTTAAGACGATAAATCAGGAATTTAAATTTGAATTCGAATGTAAACCCAATTATTGTATAGATAATCCTCGCTTAAGTTGTTGTATTATCATATCGTTAAATTGACAAATCAAATGGTTTAAATCGGAATGTTGAAACAAGAAAAAAGGAAATTAAATGAGTTTGTCATCTATGATTGAAATACCCGAGGAATAGCAAAGCGCAGCCGTACTCACCGGAACAATTGACGTAGGTACATGTAGTCCGGCTGCTCCTCAAAGCGCAGGCTACGACAATAGTTCAGATACATGGAGAACTCGGCCGGCGAGCCCTTGCAGAGGACCTCGATGGGCGTGGACATCTTCTTTTCGGAGATCTTCTCGTACTTCTGCTGCTTGGTGTTGGCCTTCATGCCCTGCCATGGCAGGACGCCGCGATTGAAGTACATCATCA